CGCCGCGCTGCAAGGGGCACGGCCCACGGGGCACGCGCGTGTTCCCGCATCAAAGCGGAGCCACGCGTTCGCTCCAGCAGTCTGGTAATGAATACAACAGAAGCGCCCAGCTCCCCTGCACAGCTCCCGCTGAAACCGGGGGCGCTGCTTGCCGCTGCTCCCGTTCGGGGAAAGCCCCGAGGCCGATGCGCGCCTGCACCTTCGCCCCACGCGGGCCAGGTGCGCCCTCTGCGTCAGCACCAGCGCAGGACAGTCTGACCCTAAGAGCTGGAGGATCTCTCCCAAGCGCTTCCTGCGGCAGAAATCTGAGATGAGGGGCCCCAGCAGGCCCTCCCATCCATCCTCCTCGCATCCTCCTGTGTCCATCTCAATGGGCGTCCGTTTAGCCTGCTCCCATATGGCTCCGCTATCAGAAGTGCCCTTCGCTCTCCCCAGCACTAGAAGATCGTTCACGATACCCGAACTAAATCTTCCTTGCCCATTCCTTATGACTGTACCCACTCTGGGAAAGATATTATCCCTCTTCCTCTTTGCAGCAGACTTTCCATCCTTGAAAACTGCTATCACATCCCCCCTCAGCCTTCTCATCTTTAAACAGCCCCACTCGACTCTATCTTTCCTTGTAGGACTTATTTTCCAGCTCTTGGCTCCTCTTTGCTGCCATCCTCAGGCCCTTGGTTCATGCTGCACCTGTCCCAGCCTTGGTGTGCTTGGAAGAGCCCCGGCCGGGTGCTGCAGAGCACCCCAGCCCAACACGCGCTTGCGGGGGGCTGTTCCCCTGCCGCGGCAGAGCCTTCACGGCTACGTGCCCAACCCACCTCCTGGAAAGACTGGATCTTCTTATGGAAAAACTTCACTCCTCTCTGCGTTAACCTTGAAGAACAAGTTCATTTGTTACTGGCAAATAAAAGTAAACGTGCCGTTCAGATCAGCCCCTGCAATCGATACCCAGAGCAGGTATGGCTCATTGCTCACTGCAGTAAACGTCCGTGGTCTCCTCAGTGGTTCTCGAACCGTCTCCAGCCATCAGCTCAGCTCCTCGATGGCCCAGAGCTGCCACTAACCAAAGGTCAGGCTGGCTAAGCCCAACACCCAAATCCAGACTTTATGCATTCGGTTGGGCATCCACTGCACATTAGCCATGACAAGAACAACAGCCCAAAATATTTCCATAGCTAAAAGCTGCAAAGAGCTCAGCTGTGTCTCTGATAATCCGTCCCTAAGCGTCCCACGATCTTTGCTGGTGCAGAGGCCTGCTCGGGGGCTCACGGGTCAAGTGGGCAGCCCATTTCCCTAGGGGACAAGGCGTCGGGGGCAGAGCCCATGTCTGCTGAGACCGCACCGACCCTAGAGCTCAGCCCTGGCTGCAAACAACTGCAGCTCTGGGCCTGGTTTCTCTTCCCTGCATCCTCAGTGCTGCCTCAAATCACCCACCAACTTTGCATTAGAGAAGACTCGGGAGGGAAGCCTTAAATGTGGAGAATGAAAATTCACACCTGCCTCTCGTATTCTGGCGGGCAGATAAATTGGGCAGAAAAAGGTGGTTCTTATTCCTCAGCTTGTGGCACCCCCAAGCAGCTGTGGCACCCAGCTGGCCCCAGTGGCTCCAAGCAGAGGAAGCATGAGATGCTCACCTGTTGGTGAGCCACGGCAAATAGCTCCTGCCCTCCAGCACCAGCGCTGTGTTGAACCAGCCGTAGCTGAAACCAGACAAGGAGAGTGAAAACAGTTTGGGTGCACAGCATCTTTGCGAGAGCAGCTGCAGCCGGCCCCAGCAGGACCCGGCACCCCAGCTCCCTCTCTGCAGCCCGTCGCTGGCTCTGGGAAATGGGACTGAAAAATACCTGTAGCCAGGGAAGAGTTCAAGTTCTTTTGGTGTCAAGTTCCTAAATCCCAGGACAATGTTTTTCCAAGATGGATCCTGCAAAAGGGGGAAAAGTTCCAATCTCATTGACAGAGTTTAAACACTGCAGTCAAGCCGCGGTGCCGTCGCGGCGTGATGCAGGAAAGAAGCTGCGGGAGAACGAAGCATATTCACTGCACAGCCTTGCTCCAAACAGACCAGGGCCAGACGTTCAGCTGGGGCAAATCACAGACCTTCTGCAATCAGCTTCCACCCTTGGAGGGCTTAGCCTTCACTTTATACAAATATTTCATTGAGGAAAACAGAAAATATCAAGTCCCAGGCAAAATGCTCACCAGGCGAACTGTTGGAATTATTTGGAGGAGTTTAAAGCCTTTTTTAGCACGAGATACAAACGTGCCCACCCCTGCACTGGCCTTGGACCTGGAGCCCTTCTCACCCCCGTCTATAATTTGCTCCTTACCGGAACTGGCTGTTTAAACAGGTTGTAGCCAGAAATCAGGAAAAGTCCCATTTCCTTTGCTTCCAGCGAGCCAAGGTGTCCGAGCAGGTAGTCAAAGGTCTCTTTGTTCCAGAGCTGAAAACAAAAACCCGACAGCCGTGGCTCTAGCAGCTCCCCTGGCTGGGGAGCCGTGCGCTCGCGCGG